ACTAAAGGAACTTCAGGTAGTCTAGCCAAAGCTGAAGGGGACTTACAAGGACTTGTTTTCATTCACACAACCAGAGGTGTCAACCCCATTGTACAAAAGCTACCCTATAACTTACAAGAGCGATGGATCACACATGGCTCAAAAATAAAAAGACAGCATAAAGTTGCATTTCCCCCTTTTCTCTGTTTTTGTGGACTTTGAAAGCCAGAAAACTAGGACAAGAGATGATCCTATTTTTTACTTCACATTGTCATGTGCTACTCCTATAGGACTGAACCCTAACAAACCTCCAGTAGCAGTCCACAAAACTAATGTGACTCCTCCAGATTCTTTTCATAGGTCTGCCAGTTCCGCTAACTCAAAGACAAAGATCCTAGTAAACAGTGTCCATTGCACCGGAAGCCACATCCTCTTTTAAAATGCAGAGCCTTCAGAGAGAAGTCCACAGAAAAACACAAAGCCTTCCTTAACCACTTCTCGTCTGGCCCATGTATATAAATGGCTGGACGGGAGCAGTGCAGGGGCGGGGGGCCTTTATAAACATCCTTACCGCTTACCTGCTTGTGCGCTCTCCCTGGGAGCGCGCAGCACCGCGATCCGGTGCCCGCTGTGTCTGGAGGACACAGTGGAACACCGATCATTGTACGGGATCTCTGTGTGAGGTCCAGATCATGTGATCACTGATTGGTCATTCAGTGATAACATGGATAGTAGTAAACAAGATGTCACTTCTGACATCATTGCTTACTACGTGTGAAATCTGTGAATAATCACAGAGATCACATGGTACAAGGCTATTCACAACAGCCTTGTACCATGTGACAAGCTGTGACCAATCACAGCTCACACAGTATTTCTCGATGGCTGCAAGAATGCAGCCAGAGAGAAAGAGAAATGATTGCTTTTACAGCCTTTATGGCTGTAAAAGCAATCAGTGTAAAAAAAAAAAAAATCTTCATCACCCCCCAGAAGTAGTACAGTATCACTATGGTGACACTGTACTGCTAAGGTGACAGTATGTAAAAAAAAAAAAAAAACATAAATAGTAATAAAAAAAAATAAAATAAAAATGTAAAAAAAAAATTTAGAAAAATTATAATTTTGGTTATAAACTAATTTGTGTTTTTTTTTTTTTCTAAAAAGATAACTGAATACATTTTGGCCAAGATTTATGAAGAAAGATTATTTATTTGCAAAATGTTATAAGAAAAACACTATTTTTTTTTCATTTATATAGAAAAAAAAAATAAAAATCCCAGTGGTGAATAAATACCAACAAAATAAAGTATTATCTGTCTCAAACAAATGCTAAAAAAATCATATGGGTACAGTGTTGCATGAACGTGCAATTGTCATTCAAAGTGTGATAGCACTGGAAGCTGAAAATTGGCCTGGACAGGAAGGGGGTGCAAGTGTCCAGACATGAAGTGGTTAAGAAGAACAACATCTGCTACAAATGCTGCTCATCAACATCTCACATGATTGTAAGGTCAGTGTAAAATGCACAGCATGTGACAGCTCAGATCATAACACAGCATTACACCCTGGGCAGCCCCATGGACTTTATAATACACTCACAGCATTAGTGAGCATGGTAGGGAGGAGGAACACACTGCCAGAACTACACCAGAGATCACTTCACAATACACAGAGGTCTGCAAAGGACCCATAGCTGGAAGGTCCTGCTCCAAAATCTGTTTAGTCAGAGTTTAACCAGCAAGCCAAGGGAACAAAGCCTTTAAAGCAGAGCTCCACCCAAAAGGGGAACTTCCGCTTTAAGGACTGGTCCCCCTCTCCCCGTTACGGATCGGTTCTTTTGGGAATGGGGGGGGGGGGGGGGTGCGGGTAACTGAAATTCACAAATACCTGCTCCCACTTCTGCTGTGATGCCTAGGCGATCAGGAAAGGAACTTGTCCTCCCCCCCCTCCTTCCACGTAGTCTTTTTGGGACATGTGACAGGTCCCAGAAGACTGTAGGGCCATTCAGAAAGAGCAGCACTACTCGCACCATGTGCACAGTGGGCACTCGGGCTGTGAAGCTGCAAGTTGTCACAGCCTGGTACCCGCACTGAAAATGCTGGTGCCGGGAACACAGGACGCCTGTTGAAATTGGCTGTGGGGAGAACACCACTGGATCCTGGGGCAGGTGAGTGGCTGTGTTTTAAAAGTCAGCAGCTACAATTTTGTAGCCGCTTACTTTTATTTTTTTACAGTTTGACTGGAACTCCACTTTAAGCTTTATGCAATTCTTGTTGATCAAAATAACAAGTCTTTAGCCAGCTCATCCTTCTTTGATACTAAAGGTTCCAGGATTCCCTACTCCTCAAGAACTTGTGCAGGAATAGAGGAAACAGCAGGGAGTGGGACATTTTGCTACCTAGTCAAGTCTATTAATGGACAAACAAACCTTTCCTTACCAACTCTTATTGAATGCAGTCATATCCCTGAGCACAGATTTGAAATTCCTACACCAGATGCCACGGTTCACTGGAGACAAATAATGGGCTTGGTACCAGAACTTGATCCTCAAGCTCAAATAATCCTACTCCTTAGGATAGATATCTTATGAGTCCATAAAGCAAGAGCTCAAATTAATAGTCCCCACAATACTCCCTATGCCCAGAAATTAGACCTAGGATGGGTCATTACAGAAGATGTCTGTCTAGGAAACATGCACAATCCTACCTCTGCTAACAGCAAGTTTACAAGTACATTAAAAAATGGACATCCATCCCCATTTCCAGCCATGCCACAACCATTTCATAAAGATATTGCCATACACTACGCACTTGCCTTGTCTCTTCATATGTCCCTCTAGTGACAAGTTGTCACTGACAACCTTGCCTGTGACAGTGACCAAGACCATTTAAGGTGCACAGTCTTTCAAAGAACAAAAGAGAACAATCAGGTGGCAATGTCTATTGAAGATAAAATCTTTTTGGAAATAATGGTGCAGGAACTAGTCAAAACATGACACAGACTGCTGAGTCACACCTCTTCCTTTCAGACCACAGAGGTGAAGCCTTCCTAATAACAGAGATCAAGTACAAAGGAGTTTTTCTTATCTTCAATGTACTTTTCAAAGAAAGCCAAAGATGAGAGACTTCTTTTCTTTCATGGAGAAAATCTTCGACAACAGTCATACAGAAATAGCTCCCACTCTTAAAGAATATTAGGAGTGCTAGTACCTACCGATATTTGTAGTATACCATCCTAGGAAGCTGGGTCAAATTAGAGTAGTGTTTGACTCTAGTGCAAAATTTGAGGGTGTCTTTCTAAACGATATCCTCTTGACAGGTCTAGACTTTGATAACAAATTTCTAGGGGTGCTCTTACACTTTTGCAGAGACTCTGTTGCTTTCATAGCTGACATTCAAAAGATGTTCCATTGATTTCTTTGGTTTAGAGAAAATGACCCTTCCAAAGACATACTTGACTACTGCATGAGAGTAGAGTTCTTTGCCAACAGTCCTTCTCCTGCAGTTGCTGTATATAGACCCAGACATTCCACTCAGGAAGGCGGGACTGAGTAAGAGTCAGATGCTAGACAATGCATAGAAAGGACTTTTATGTAAATAGCTGTTTAAAATCTCTACCTTCCAATGAGTCTGCAATTAGTCTCCTAAAAGAGCACAGCAAATATTAGCCTGCTCCAAGCTTCATAAAATTACTTGCCAACAGTAAAGAAGTGATGGAAGCTTTCTCTTCCTGACATCACTCTAAAGGTCTAAGAGAGTTTGATTTAGGGACAGACTCTTTACCTGTACAACACAGTCTTGGTCTACTATGGGACTTGAAATCGGATTCCTTTACCTTGCAGATAAGCACAGAGGAAAAACCTTTCACTGGTAGAGGCGTCTTGCCCATGATTAATAGCCTGTATGATCTAAGCACTGCTAGAGACCTAACTCCTGAAGCATCTGACTGGGATACCCCACTGCCTCTTGATAAAAGAAACTCTTGGGTAGAGTGGAAAAATTCTCTGATAGCTTTATCTAATCTGCGTGTTTCATACCAATATGGTCCGACACCACTGGTGAGTACAGACTTACTGCCATCTGCCGCCTGGTTATTTCACTGTACTTTTATATGCTTTATACATGGTTATCTGTTATCTACATTGTTACATAGTTATCTGTTTTTCACAATAGTTTCACCCACCCTGTTTTGTTAATAAAGATTCAAGATTACATTCAGTCAGGTTTATTGCAGAGTAGGTGAGTTTAGCTGCATGTCGAGTTACACACAAGGAAATGTGCAGTGAGGACAGAACAAGCATTGTAATAGTGATACAAACAGTTATTATTGACAATCCGGTATAAGCTTACATGAAAAATCTCCTTTCATACTGTGATTGCTGTCTATCTATTGGCCATCTCTTTCTACAATTTCCTGGATTCTCTGCGTGCTTTGCAGCTTCTCCTCTACTGTTTACTTTCAATTTCGAAGGAATATACTGTATATCCCATGGTACTTTGCTCTCTACAAGCATTGATCAATGTACTAACTCCATCTCCTGTTACTCCTCTACACAGTACCTCTGTAGTTCAGAAGGCAGGCTCTGTGAAATGTGTGACACAGCAGTGCTGACTCACAGTGCATAGTGACTACATAGCACAGAATTCAAGGAAGTAAATGGGCTGAGATCTTTACAAGGCAAATTCTATATCTTTCAGATTAACCGAAATAGGCTTAAGGAGCATCTAGAGAGATCAGGGATGACTTGTGTTAAAGCTCTTTTACTGTTCGGTAAGTATATGTAAATCATTTAATGTTCATAGTCCCTTTACATGGCCACACCCATACAGTGTACGAAGGAGTAGGATTTCTGTGCCCAGGAGTCACAGGTATATAAATCCATGACAGACTGACAGATGCTACAATTGTATGACCATTGACATGTTTACATCTGTACAGGTGGAGATACACTATATTGCCAAGCGTATTGCGACCTCCAGTCACCTCCATGGACACAGGTGTATAAAATCAAGCACCTAGGAATGCAGACTGCTTCTACAAACATTTGTGAAAGAATGAGTTGCTCTCAGGAGCTCAGTGAATTCAAGCGTGGTACTGTGATAGGTTGCCACCTGTGCAATAAGTCCATCCATGACATTTTCTTGCTACTAAATATTCCACGATCAACTGTTAGTGATATTATAACAAAGTGGAAGCAACTGGGAACAACAGGAACTTGGCCATGAAGTGGTAGACGATGTAAAATAACAGAGCAGGGTCAGCGCACAGTGCGCAGAAGTTGCCAACTGTCTGCAAAGGCAATAGCTAAAGACCTCCAAACTTTGTGTGGCCTTCAGAATAGCACAACAACAGTGCATAGAGAGCTTCATAGAATGTGTTTCCATGGCCGAGCAGCTGCATCCAAGCCTTACATCACCAAGTACAATGCAAAAACGCTGGATGCAGTGGTGTAAAGCACGCCACCACTGGACTCTAGAGCAGTGGAGATGTATTCTCTGAAGTGATGAATCACACTTCTATTTCTGGAAATCCGATGGACTTGTTTGGGTTTGGCAGTTTTCAGGAGAACAGTACTTACCTGACTGCATTGTGCCAAGTGTAAAGTTTGGTGGAGAGGGGATTATGGTGTGTGGTTGTTTTTCAGGGGTTGGGCTTGGTCCCTTAGTTCCATTGAAGTTCCAGCTCCATTGCATATGCTTTTATGCACACAAAAAAGGATATCATTTAGTCTAACGGAGCCTATCTTAAAGAAGAATTTCCTTAAAGGGGAATTCTGCAGACTCTGATGTAGGAATGAACCCTGTAGATTCTGATGTAAGAGGGAACTCTGTGAACTTTATATCAGAGTCCCCTCTTACATCAAAGTCCACAGAGTTCCCTCATACATCAGAGTTCTCCTTTACATCAGACTCTGAAAAGTTCTCCCTTACATCAGAGTCCACAGAGTTCCCCCTTACATCAGAGTTACCCTTTAAATCAGAGTCCCCAGAGATTCCGATTACATCAGAATTCACAGAGTTCCCCCTTACATCAGAATCTGTAGGGTTCCCACTTACAGTGCAAGAAGGAATTCTGTGGATGTAAAGGGAAACTCTGATGTAAGGGGATCCCTGGTCACCAGAGCCCCCTTTTCTTACACAAGAGTCCTCAGAGTTGTCCTTTACTTCTGAATCTGCATGGTTCCCCCTCACAGTGCAAGGGGGAACTCTGCAGACCCTGATGTAAAGGGGAACTTTGATTTAAAGAGGAATGCTGAAAACCATGATGTAAGGAAGAATGCTGCAGACTTTGCTGTAAAGGGGAACTTTGAGTAAGGTGGTATCTGGTCACCAGTCCAAAGTATTCCCCATTACATCAGTATCTGCAGAGTTCCCCTTTACATCAGGGTCTGCAGAGTTTCCCCTTGCACTCTAAGAGGGAACCCTGCAGAACTGTGTGCACTCTGATTTAAGGGGGAACTCTGATGTAAAGAGGAACTGTGTGCACTCTGATTTAAGGGGGAACAATGTGATCTCTGATTTCAGTATCTCTGACAGTGACCTGTTTAGTGTGACCACTGTCCCCTTCCCCTCCTCTGTGTGCATGACAGGTATAGCTGTGTGTGCATACTGACAGCACACTACCTGTACCCTCTCCGGTCCGACTGTCCATGGCTCGGAAACCTCACTTCCCTCTTTAGCTAGTACCCTCACTCACAGCCACCATCATTGTCCCGTCCTGAACTCCGATTTATCCCAGGCTGGTCAGCAGGTTCCCTCTGAGACTCTGACTGTCCCAACTTCATTCTCAGCAGGCAGAACAGAAGCTGCGGTAGGCAGCACGACAAAGTGGAGCAGCTGGAAGAGGAAGTTAGATCTTACTCCTGTGAATGCTGAGGCCTCTGTGCACCTAATTGGTTGCTAGGACACTAGGTGGACCTAGCAACCAATAGTTTTATTCTGACTCAGATTGTTGTGCCGCACAGGAAATGTATTGTAACATATATATTTGACTGTGATAGCAATTTATCCCCTGTGAGACCTCTATGCCTAGCCTGTATAAGCAGATATAATCACTGTGGGCAATCCTTATCAGATAGTTGAACTCACCAATACATCCAGAAGTTTCTTTATTCTGTACATGTGACAACAGGATACAGCAGAATGAATGGTTTCCAGTATTATGCGGTCAAAAGATGATACTTTCTGTAGCGTACTATGCAGAATACATGTGTCCCTGTTACATGTGGACTGTAAGCTGCATCCATGACACAGGAAATGCTGTACTCAAGAAGAAGGGAGGAGCTTCATGTGCAAAGGAATTGTGTCATAGATCTCAGGGAGGTAATATGAAAAACAAGTGCATTACCAAATAAGGCCACTGGATGGCAGCATATAACTAACTATAGAAATGGTACAAAGAATAAACTATATGAATTCTCATGTACATTAACATAAATATTAACTGTGTAACAGCATACTCCCCGTCTGGCATTGGAAATGTCACCATTTAAAACCATAACGGTAGTTATACAATTGCAAATTAACAACAGCGCAATTTGCTTAATGTCTTGAAGACCTGAAAGACATAAAAAAGAGAACATGCATATAGTGCAACAATTATAACGTAAGGCTTCAAGTTGTATCAATTAAAGTTCAAGACACTTCCTTCTTGAAGTCACAGGTTGGATCCAGCAGCATACGCAAGCAAGTTCATTCTCCAAAGGGCAAGAGCAGAACAAGTTCCGTCATAGATCTGCTGAAAGTCTTTACAGTCCCTTGTCTGGCAACTTTCACCTCCACCTTGCGTACCTTGCTGTCATCACTAGGAATGCTCATTACAATGAGTCCCATAGGACACTCCATTCTTTCAGCTTGCTGATCCTTCAGCAGAACGAGATCTCCAACTTTAATGTTAGTGTTCAGGCGTTGCCATTTTCTGCGTCCTTGCAGAGTAGAAATATACTCCATTCTCCAACGATTCCAGAAGCAGTTGGAGAGGTGTTGTACTCGCTTCCACTGGTCATAGCACAGATTTCCTGCTTTAAAAGTTTCCAGGTGGAACAGGAACGGACCCAAGCTTCTGGGTAAGTAGAGTAGCTGGGGTAAGGATAATTGGGGTCTCTGGATCTGTAGAAACTGGAACAAGTGGTCTTGAATTGATTATGGCAGATACTTCTGCCAGGAAGGTGGTTAGAATCTCATGGGTAGTCTTGTGGAGTTCAAGTCCATAAGCATAGAGTCCAGTATTTTTGTGTGATGCCTATCATTCTCTCCCAAGAGCCACCCATGTGGGAAGAATGAGGAGGATTGAAAATCCATGTACAGCCCTTTTCAGCTAAAAGGTCTTGGATTGGCCTAGAGTTGAGCTGTAACTCTCGACAGGCTCCAACGAAATTAGTTCCACAAAGTTCAAGCCTAGGAATTGTGTGCTCAGGCTTAGGTGCTAACTTAGCTTTCCCAAACAGAAACCCTATGTGGGTTTGATTAGAGTCTATTACCTTGAGGTAGGCAACAGCTGCTATGGCCTCAGTAGATGTATCTGAGAAGATGTGAAGCTCTTTTCTCTGACTTGTAGCAAGGGAAGCTGAGGTGTAACAGCGTGGTATACTGATTCCATCTAAGGCATGTAGAGATTGTTTCCAAGACTCCCACTTTGGAAGCTTGTCTGTAGGCAGCGGAGCATCCCAATCTTTAATAGACTCTGAGAACTGTCTAAGTAAGGCTTTACCTTGTATGGTGATGGGAGCCACAAATCCCAATGGATCGTATAAGCTGTTCACCACTGACAGAACACCACGCTTGGTAAATGGTTTGTCTGCAGAGCCGACTTGAAAGCCGAAGGTATCTTTTAATAAGTCCCACCGTAGGCCCAGACTTCTCTGTACAGGTGGCATGTCCACCCAGTGGCATGATCGCCAGGTTGAAAGGCTTTCATAACAGCGACACTATTCGAGGCAATCTTGTGTAGTCTGAGGTTAGCCTCGGAAAGCATACCTTGTGTCCTTTGGAGCAGGTCTATGGCTTCTTCGTCTGTAGGTAAAGACTTAAGTCCATCGTCAATATAAAAGTCTCTCTCAACGAAGTGTCAAGCATCCGCACCATACTCCTTTTTACCATCAAGGGCAGTCCTTCGTAAACCATATGTTGCAACAGCGGGTGAGGGACTATTTCCAAAAACATGTACCTTCATGCGGTATTCAATGATCTCTTTGTCCATGTTGTTGTTACGGTGCCACAGAAACCTTAGGAGGTTCCTATGGTCTTCACGTACAATGAAGCAATGAAACATTTGCTCAATATCAGCAGTTATGGCAACTGGTTCTCTTCTAAATCTCATAAGTATACCTACAAGATTGTTGGTTAGATTTGGGCCAGTGAGAAGAAACATCGTTCAGGGATACGCCTTGATGCTTGGCACTGGAGTCAAATACTACCCTGATTTGTTTTGGCTTACGTGGATGATACACTCCAAAGAAAGGCAGGTACCAGCATTCATCTTTGAAGTGGTGGCGCTGGTTCAGCGTGATCATTTTCAAAGATCCTTTTCATAAAAAAGCAATGAAATGCTCCTTCATTTCATGCCTGTTCTTTAGTGTTCGTTGAAGTGAGTTGAATCTGGATAGAGCCTGTACATGATTGGTTGGGAGTGTGGCCCTTGCAGCACGAAGAGGTAATGGTGCGATCCAGCTGTTAGACTCATCCTGGAAGAATTCTTCGTCCATTATTTTGATGAACTCTCTATCTTCAACTGACAAGGCTATTTTGTTGTCATCACTTGTAGTACAAAACACTGTGGTATCTAGGTTGTCATCACAAAGAAGAGGAGTAACATCAGGTACTTGGATGATGTCAAGAGGCTTCTCCTTTACTTCATAATGGTGAGGGCACTGTTTGAAGTGGGATGCACGTCCATTTCCCAACATGTAAATTTTGAAGGAGTGGATCTCAGATGACGTTATGTTCAGGCATACATCGCCCACTATTACCCAGCCTAGGTCAAGTCTTTGTGTATAAGGGGCATCGTCAGGTCCATCGCATTGGTCGCGTACTTTATGTACTCTGAGAATGTCTCTTCCTAGCAGGACCAAGATTTCAGCACTCTTTTCCATCTCATCAGCAAGGTGCCTTAAGTGAGGATGATGATATGCAGCTTCTGGAGTAGGAATCTCTCCTCTTTCGTCTGGTATCTGATCACACTCAACTAATGTTGGGAGGGGTATGCCTTCTCCATCCTTGATATGAGAGACCATGAATCCATCGACCCTTCTGCCAAAGGTCTCTACACGACCAGAACAGGTTCTGAGAGTATACGGTGTGGCATGACCTTCTAAGCCAAAGATCTCAAAGAATTTAGGCTTAACCAGGGATCTGTTGCTCTGTTCATCTATTATGGCATACATCCTATCAGCTTTCTCAGGATGATC